GCACGGTGGTTAGGGTGCTAGACTCTCACATAGCCAATCATGGTTCGAATCCTGGACCTGGTGGCTTGCTTTCTGCCTTTCTCTCTCTCTGTCCTCTCTAGTCAAATTAAAATAAATAAAAATGAATAAAGTTAAATAAAGTAATTCTTTTTTTTTTTTGAGAGGTTTTCGCTATACGGCATGTGCGCTCGCCAGACAGACAGAGAGAGACATAGAGACAGAAAGCGAGAAATCACCCCCCAGAGGGGATGGTCACGCCGCAATCCCTTCTCCATTCTCCTCTCGGGATCTTGGGCACGCACGCACACGCACCCAGTGTGAGTTTTAAGCCACCGGGTCCGGGACACGAACTGCGGTCGACTACGTGGGAGTCCAGCACCTTGATCACCATGCCACCTGCTGGCCCTTGTTTTTCTCTTAGGGTTAATAAAATAGTTATAATTGGTATGCTTGTGCTCATTATGTCCCAGACACCATTATGGAAAAAGAAATTGTATACACACACATGCACACACACATATATGTATATATGTATGATTGTCGGGAAAGTCATGACATATTTTTGCGTAGAAAAAAATATGTCATGACCTTACCAATGAGCCTGTATATACGTGTGTGTGTGACAAATGTTCTTAAGTTTTTTCATAATAGATAACCTATATGAGTTTAAATTAAAACTAGGTTTTACTGTACCTGCCTCATTTCTTAAATCATCTCACCCCTCTTTCATTTGATGTCTTTATCAGTAACATTTAAATTTTAGTTTGCTGCAGATTTAATCAGAGCTTGAAGGTTTCTATGACTGTTATTTCTATACCATATGGCATTTCTTTTTCTTTTTCTGGTTTTTTTTTTTTATATTTTTAAGCAGGAGATTCCATTTCTAAGCCAGATGTGGTTGATCTATTAGAGCAAGGAAAGGAGCCCTGGACGATTTTAAGTGAAGGAACACAAAGACCGCACGCAGGTAAGGAAGGCAGAGAAAGCAATCAGGAGTGATAACGGGTTATCAGGATATCAGGTAAGGGAGAGGAGGCGCCGCTGTGTGTGGTTGTCTGTAAAACCCTCCTCCAAGGCACCAAGACTTGTGGAGCATAGGCCTATGACCTTATTTTAATTTAAACCCTTTTTTTTTCTTTTAATTTTTGCCAGAGGGCGTGTATGCATTCTGAAGGGAGACAGAGAGAGGGAGAGAGAGAGAGAGAGAGAGGGAGAGAGAAATTGATAAAGCACCATCACCCATGGAGAATAGTTATGCTACAATTTCTTTTCCTTCATTTCTCTCTTCTTTTTGAGATTTTGGGCACACGTGCACACATGCCTGGCATGTTTCTCAAGCTGCCATATCTGGGGCTTGAATTGTGCAGTTGTTATGTGAGATACAGCTGCTTTAATCACCACTCTGGCTGGGCTCTAAACCAGTAATTTAAATATACTATGACTTGAGATGGAAATAAAGATCTCAATTTCATCTGAGGAAGGAACTTCAACTTTATCTCATTTAGCAATCACCTTATTTCTCGCTCATTTTCAGTGACCGGGGCTCCCTTTCTCTTTAGTGCAATATTTTACCTGTATTTTGAGTTCAACTGCTTTTCCAGCTTCCCTTGTACATATACACCCAAAACCACAAATACGTCCTGTACTAGAGTGAGTAGACATAAGAATAGACAGATAAGGAAATAATACAGGGCAATAGAATGAGCTTCTCCATGTCTCTGCTTTCTCCATGCTTAAAATATATGCTTAGGCTAGCAGGTGGTGTGGTTTAGGTGCTGGATTCTCATATGGCTGACTCTCATTTGAACCTGGACCCAGTGGCTTAAAAAATCATGCTGGGCATTGTGCTTGGGTGCCCAAAATTCCAAGAGGAGAATGGAGGAGAAGGGTTGTACCATGGCCATTCACCTAGGGGATGATCTCTCACTATCTGTCTCTCTGTCTCTCTTCAGCAAGCACATTATGCCCTATGGCAAAATCCTTTAAAAAATTTATATGCTCACTTGATATATCAATTTATTTACACACACACACACACACACACACACACACACAAGCATATGGATATCTTTCTCTTCTATAGAAGTCTTGTTTGTCATTGTCTTCAGCAAAACTAGAGAGGGTATTTGAAAAGTGAATTTTGTGAATGACTTTTTCACTTAGTGTATTTTTTTCATTTTAAATTTATTTATTTATATTCATTCACTGTACATCATGACAGTATACAAAATTAGATTTTTTTCCACCCAGAAATATACACAGTATATTGCCTCAGTCAAGGGTATTATCATATGTGTTATTGTCAACAAATAATTTGCCATTTCTTGTTTTATATATATTTTGCTTCCCCCCCCCCCCTTGAGTCCCTACTTCTCACCCTCTGCCATTTCCCACCTTCTTCCCACGCAGCCTCTGGTATCTACAGTTGCTTTCCATACCTTTTTTTTTTTTTCACATTTTATTTTTTCACTAAAGACCTTAATTGATCTAAATACTTCTGATAGCAAGCACAGGTGATATATACATATCTGTGAACACATGTCTGAATTTGGCATAAAACCTCAGTGAGTGGAATGAACATACTTATAAAGTAGCACCTAGTTGAGGCTATAGAGCTGACTGTAGTCATTAAATAGGTATTTTTTAAATGCATTATTTTTTCTTTTTTTTTTGGAGAGGTTTTTGCTATAGGGCGTGTGCGCTCTCCAGAAAGACAGAGAGAGACAAAGAGAAAGGAAGTGAGAAATCACCCCCCGGGGGGCTGGCCATGCCACAGTCCCTTCTCCTCCATTCTCCTCTTGAGATCTTGGGCACGCACACACATGCATCTGGCGTGAGTTTAAGCTGCCAGGTCTGGGACCCGAACTGTAGTCGACTACATGGGAGTCCAACGACATAGTCATTATCCTAACTGCTGGTCCCTTAAATGCATGTTTTAGTTTCAAGAAAAACAGTTTTAAGTATTTTTCTTGTTTGGGTTTTTTCTTTTCTTTTTTTTTTTTTTTGTTTTTACACCCCCTTTTTGTTTTTTTTTATATTTT